GATAGTCATTTGTTCATTCATTAGTCACATTTCCTCATCCACTGCTTTCTGACTTCCTCCTCACAACACTCTCACGAAAGACCCCTTGAGAGAGAGACACTGCCTCCCTCTCTCTCTCCCTCTTCCTCTCTCTCTCTCCCTCTCTCTCTCTCTCTCTCTCGCTATCTCTCTCTCTCTCTCTCTCGCTCTCTCTTTCTCTCTCCCTCTCTCTCTCGCTATCTCTCTCTCTCTCTCTCTCTCTCTCGCTCTCTCTCTCTCCCTCTCTCTCTCTCGCTCTCTCTCCCTCTCCCTCTCCCTCTCCCTCTCCCTCTCCCTCTCTCTCTCTCTCTCTCTCTCTCTCCCTCTCTCCCTCTCTCTCTCTCGGGACACTCGCCTTCTCGTTGATGATGTTGGTGGCGATGAGGCACATGACGTCACGGATTTGGATGGTGCCCGAGCTACCGAAGCTCTTGAAGGTGCACTTGGCCATCCGCGGGAACACGAAGGCCATCGGGTCTGTCCTGTTCTCGGGGTCCATGCCGGCCACCTGGATCACCTGCGAAGAGAAGTGGTACGTGCATGAACTCAGAGCACGTGCATGGTATTCAGGAACTCGTGCATGGCGCATTTGGAGACGGTGTGTGTGTAAAATGTGGGAAGTTAATAATAAAAAAAATGGAAGAAAGAAAAAAATATACAGATAAACAGATAGATAAAGATAAGACAGACAAGCAGATCTAATAATGATAAGACAAACAAGAAAATCTAATAAAGATAAGACAGACAAGAAAAACCAAGCAGAGATAAAGACAGCCAAGAAAACCAAGTATAAGATAAAGACAGACAATAAAACCAAAGTCAAAGATAAGACACACAGATTAAGAAACACACACAAAAAAAAGGCCCACATAAAATCAGACCAAGAACCTCTTTAAGAATACCCACACACCCACGCCCACACACCCACGCCCACACACCCACACCCACACACACACACGCCCACACACCAAACTACCACTCACATCGCTGCCGTAGGTGAGGAACTGCCCGCCAAGGAACCAGTCAGTGAAGAAGAAGATGCAGAACACGTTCACGACGTAAAGAGCTTCGCAGAAAAAGAACTTGTATGCCCAACTTTTATCGTTCCGGCGATGGTACCTTACATATAGACAAAGGTTTTTGATCCTGTTGAGAGACAAGGGGGAAAAAAATGTGATATAGATGTGTTTTTTTGTTAGTTTCGTCTTTAGAGAATTATGGTACTCGTGATGAATGGTGATAACAGTTATGATGTTATAGTAATGATCATAACGATGATGATGATTATAGTAAAGTAATAGCAACAGCAATAGCGATAAGGATAATGATAATAACAATAACGTGTGATGATAACATTAAGTACAATAATAATGATATTGATAATTGTGATAATGATAATAATAATAATAATTATACTAACAATAATACCAATAATAAATGTAATGATAATTATGATATTGATAATTATGATAATGATAATGATAATAATAATAAGAACAAACAATTGTAATTATGATAATTACAATAACAGCAATAATGATGATGATGACGATGATAATCATCATCATCATAATCAATATCTTTATAATCATTTATCATCATCATGCTATAGCGCTACAGACGATAATGCAAACGATAATAACAACAACACTAACAAAAAAATAACACCATTAAACAACAACAATAAACAAGAACAACGATATTAAACAACAACAACAACAATAAGGATATTAAACAACAACACTAACGATACCAAACAACAATAAACAACAACAACTATATTAAACAACTACAATAAGCAACAACAATAAACAACAACAACGATATTAAACAACTACAATAAACAACAACAACAACATTAAACATCTACAATAAGCAACAACAATAAAGAACAACAACAACAACGATATTAAACATCTACAATAAGCAACAACAATAAACAACAACAACGATATTAAACATCTACAATAAGCAACAACAATAAACAACAACAACAACAACGATATTAAACATCTACAATAAGCAACAACAATAAACAACAGCAACAACAACGATATTAAACATCTACAATAAGCAACAACAATAAACAACAACAACGATATTAAACATCTACAATAAGCAACAACAATAAACAACAACAACGATATTAAACATCTACAATAAGCAACAACAATAAACAACAACAACAACAACGATATTAAACATCTACAATAAGCAACAACAATAAACAACAACAACGATATTAAACAACAACAACAACAACGGTATTAAACAACAAACAACAACAATTACCGATATCAAACAACCTCCAAAGAACGCCTTACTCTTTATCCCTCTTGAAGTAGCGGCCCAGGTTATCTCCGAGGTAGTCCCTGATGCTGAGGTTCTGGATGACGGCCCTGAAGAGTCCCTTTTCCCATGTCTTCCAGATCCAGTGAGGGACGTAGAAGAGGATGCCCTGAGGTTGAAAAAAGAAGGGGTTTTAAAATACGGTGATGGTAGTGGTGGTGGGGGGTGGTGGTGATAATGATGGTGGTGGGTATGTGATGGTGATGATGATGATAATGATGTTAATAATAATAAAAATGATACTGCTGCTATTGCTACTACTGCTGCTACTACTACTATTACTACTGCTACTACTATTACTACTACTGTTACTACTACTACTGCAATTACTACTACTACTACTATTACTACTACTGCTACTATTGCTACTATTACTACTATTACTGCTATTACTATTACTACAATTACTACTACTACTACTACTATTACTACTACTACTACTATTACTACTACTACTATTACTACTACTACTACCACTATTACTATTACTACTACTACAACAACAACTTCTACTACTGTCACTACTACTACTACTACTACTACTGCTACTATTACTATTAATAACAATGATAATGATAATAACAACTTATTATTAATAAAGACAATGATACAGCATTTTTTTAGTTGGGAAGACAGTAATTATCGTTAACATTTTGAAGTTCAGTATTGGGTTTGTTGCTTATGCAATTCACTAACTTGTGTAAAAATAAAAGTCAACATATTTGAAACTGGGACACAGAGGGTTCTAAATTTTCTGATAAAGAACAAGTTATACAAATTAAGTTAATCGTGTTCTGGGGTTGAATTCGCGAAAAAAAAGGAATTTGTTCAAGACCTCATTGTCATCTTCATTAGAATTCATCAGCAGAGTGCATGCATGCCATTTTTGTGGTATTTTAATCTTTATAATTCGGACAAAAAAGAAAGAAAGAGAGAGGACGGATTAAGTTCTTGATGTGTTCATGTGAACAGAAAAGAGATGATGAAATTTTAATTAGAATGGGAGATATAGATAGATAGACACACACATACACACACACACACACACACACAGGCACACACACACACACACACACACACACACACACACACACACAGGCACACACACACACAAACACACACACACACACACACACATTCCCACATAACCCCCCCCCCACACACATATACACACATACACACAAAATCAAACCAAAACATCCCGCCATGCACACAAGAACCACAGATAACACACACAAAAAACCCGAGCGCGAAACCTACCTGCATGAAGAGCACGAACGGCACCCACTGGTAGTACGAGTGGAAGGTGAGTTCGTCGTCGGGTTCGGGCGGCCCTACACCCGGATGGGGCACCTGGACACCCACTTGCTTCTCGTGCAGCCTGTCCACCGTGAACGTGCCCATGATGAAGCAGTAGTTGTTCACGACGTCTGCGTATGAGTCGGAATCGATGTCAACCAAGCACTGGATCTTCTCTCCTGTGGGGAAAGGAAACAATCGTATAATCAAACAATTCAAGAGGCTGTGAATATACGTCACGGTCTGCTGTTGCTGTTTTTTGTAATATTTTTTAGGGGGTTTTAAATATTTTATTTTGTTTTATATACTTATTGAGGTTTATTGTATCCAAGACCTTTATATCCTATTTTTTAGCCCAATTTGTCTGCGTCCATTCCGCCTATCAAATTCACTATTTTTTTTTTGGGGGGGGGTTGTATTTTTTTCTTATACATACTTAGGTTTATTGTATCCAAGACCTTTATATCCTAGTTTTTAGCTCATTTTTTCTGCGTCCATTCCGCCTTTCAAATTAACTAAATTTATCTCTTATTTTCCAATAGAAAAGGCCATCACTGTCCAAGGCTGCAATAACTGATGCTTTTCTGCTTGCTTTGTCATCTTTCAACAGCAAGTCACGGCGCCAAGAGTGAGTGGTGATTGTTGTGACACATGTGATGATAGTCTTACTGATAATATGGGGCTAATGAATAAAAATAGCGATGACAGCTTTTTTATTGCTAATGGAAATTATAGCGAGGGACGAGAAGAAACGTGGGAAAGAAAACTGGCGATGATTAAGAGGCAATGGGAGACACGGAGAAAAGTAGAAAAACAATTTAGAAAGTGTCGCTAGGGAAGTAAAAAAAAGAAAGAAAGAATGAAAAGGCTTATAAACCGATAGATAATTAAATAGGAAATTTAAAAAATGCCTTCTAAGACTCACCAATAGCATCGTATAACGTACACAGCAGCACAAAAACCATGTACTGTAAATACGTGTATCGATAATGGAGGCGACACATGATATTATCCACAGTAGGCTTCACCTCCGCCTTCAGCTTCACATCTGAAAGAGCTTTGAACATGCTGGCTGATTTTTAAACCAGATTCTCGTCTTCGCTTCTGAAAACCAGCTGATCTTCCCCAAAACCCTGAAGCACCGAACTTCGGCTTCGCTCGTCTCGTCTCGTCTCAGTTTCGTTTCAGTTTCGTTTCGTCTCAACAGGAAGTCGGCCTCTGTTCTCCCCCTTGCAGAGCGTCGAAGTCACCTGATCAAAGTCCGTTTTAGAATGCCGTGCAAGGATGAAATTGCAAAGGCAGATAGATTAGTCCTCCGCCTTTGACACCGCTCA